AAGTTTGCACCTAATATTTTTGGACCATGGTTGATCATGGCTAATTGAAACTGTGGAAAATGAATTCTTGAATGAGGCTTCTGTAGTTCATTACTTGGGAACTCAGTTGATGAGGGAGCCAGTAATGGGTTGCATCCATTTCAAAGAAATTTAGAAGAGCCATGCACATTTAAGTAAATATGAATAAAAGGAATTTGCAAATAGATGCAAAAATCAGTGTGTACATTGGACAGTGAAGCACTAGATTCCACTAGATAATTGATCAACCTTTTTAAAGGAAAATCACTTGCATTATCAGTTTTCTGCAGCTGATAGAATGGTACAGTAACTCAAAGTCAACAAAAGGCTAAGATAATCAGGAAAGATGTGTGTGCCGGGTGTTCTTTTCCCTCTGTGGTTCATTTTAAAGCATTTCATTATTTCCCCCAAGTGCTCCACTTTATCCCTGCCTCTTTTCTCACTATGCTGCCATACCACGAATTCCTTACGTAAATATGTACCGGCAAGAAAAGAAAGCCACAACCCATAGACTCACAGCTACACAATGAACTAAAACTGAAAACTACCAAAAGTAAATGTTTGTAAGGTGATTCCTTGAAACTTCCAATATGAATTTTGAAACTAGGACTTAAGACTAGTAACACCATCAAAATAGCATTTCTGCAGGACTGGATAGATAATCTTGCAGAGGATCCTGATTCAGTTCCCAGTACCCATACAGTGGCTAACAACAGCCTGTAACTCCAGTTCCAGGGATAAAATGCCTGTACAAGTACCAGGCACAAACCTGGTGCACAAACGTATATGCAGGCAAATACTTACATAAAAATACATCTTTTTAAAAATGGCACACCTATCAACTTATTCTTCCATTGACTAATCCTGATGCATTTTTAATTTTTATTACTGTGTGTGCATATATGGGTTTACAAGTGTGTGTGTGTGTGTGTGTGTGTGTGTGTGTGTGTGTGTGTGTATGCACGTGCACACATGCTTGTGTTTATGCACAAGAGGATGGTTTTTGAGAGTTGGTCCCTTCCTCACATCATGGATTATGGGAATCAAACTCATGTCCTCAGGCTGGGCCAGTCTTGCTCAACAAGCACTTTTACTTCTAAGCCATCTTGCTGGCCCTAATAATAATAATTTTTAAATCAGGACTGTATGTATGAGAGAGGTGGGAAAGGGGAGATGAGGGAAGGGAAAGGAAAGAGGGGGGTGGGGCAGGGGGAGAGTGCAAAGTAATAGAGGAAAAGGAAAGTTAAATATGTCAGTTTCAGAGCATACTCATAAAACTCCAGCCTCGCTTTAGCTCATGTCTGTAGTGATACATGGCTAATCAATCAAGAGCATGTTGTTTTCACTTACCAGTTTATTGATAAAATGGTTGTTTTTACTGCTTCAGGGTATGCCCCTAACTTCATAATAGTTGATAATAAACTAAACCACTTAGGGATCTTACAAGTGAGTGTGATTATCACTGCTTTCTGTGTCATGAAAGGGACTCTAGTAACAAGTCTAAATCAGAAGCTCTTTGTTAGTGAAATGAACAATTAAGCTTGCAATGCAAGGCCAGACCAAAGCCCACCCCATTCATTTACCAAGTGGGGAGTGTGTGTGTGTGTGTGTGTGTGTGTGTGTGTGTGTGTGTGTGATCTTAGAAATGCGAAAACTGTATATGAGGATCATGTCCCCAGTTCTGAAGTTCTCAACTGTCTTGAAGACGTCTCTGGAACAACCATTCTTTATCATTCATCCAGCAGTGCTGCCTTAACACAGAAACCTTTTGAAATGCCCAAGTTAAACCTCAAGAAGAACATGGAACTATTAATGTAGTGATCCACTATAGAGATTCTTGCTCAGCAAAGGATACTCAGGATGAGACTTCTAAACATCACACCTAAGCCCCCTCACTTGCCCTCTCTGTGGCCTTGCTTCCTCCCGCCTTTGGCCAGAAAACTCAAGGCAGTAAATGCACAGCTAGATGTAGGGATGAGGAGAATGTTTCAGAAGAAACACAGTCACTTATGAGCCATTTATACAATCAGACAGTTTTCCTTGAAATATAATCCGACTTCAACAAAGGGGGAATGTGTTATATCATATGGTGTATGCAGTAGAGAAATTAAAATGGCTTCTAAGAGTTAGCACCATTTCAAACTCCAATTGTTTTCAATTGATCTGAACCTGAAGAGGTCCTGAGGATAGCAGGCTGGGGGCTACATCAGTGAAGCTGTATTGCATTTGAGAGGACTCTCATTTGGGGTAAATCAGATGTTTACCCTTTTTCTATGATGGGGAGGGTATTTTATTACTATTAACTCTACCATTCATATAGTCAAAAACTCTCACACATATATTTTTGTGTGCATATTTACAACCCTGCTTTTAAAAAAGAACTCTTGCTACTGTGGGTTCATTGAGCTTCTGTATATTTGGGGATACTATTATTCAAATTCTGCAAAGACAATAAATGTAAAGTCATTCATCTTATAGACAAACAGAGCAGAGGACACAGTGTGTGTGTCATGTGTATTCTAGGACACATTTTAAAAATAAATGCAGACAAATAAAGCTGGCTACTGTGTGTGTGTGTGTGTGTGTGTGTATACTATATATACATATATGTGTATATGAGAGAGAGAGAGAGGGAGAGAGAGAGAGAGAGAGATGGATACCTAGACCTAAAATAAGTTTGGGAACTGTCTACTAATCTCAGAATGTTTGGCCTCTCTAGCAGACATTCTGAGACATTCTATTCTTATAACAGGGCTTGGAATACTATAGCCCACAGGTCAGATCCAGACCCTTCATCATCCCAACCCCTACTCTACACTTACCCAGTTTTTGCAACTGAAGTTTTGTTGGAACATAGCCCCACTGATCTACTTACTCATTTCTTCCAGCAATGGCAGACTTGCCACAGAGACTACACAACATGCAAAACTCTAACCTAGTTCTTTACAGAAAAGGCTTGCTGACTCTTTTCCAGTGTCATAGTCACAGATGAAGTCTATTATAGGTAGTATGAGAATAAGCCTTACTGAGTAGGAAAAATCCATAGGACACAGTTGGAGTTCCTGCTAACTTACTCTAGAACAGAAGTTCTCAACCTGTGGGTCGAGACCCCTTTGGAGGTTCAATGACCCTTTCACAGGGGTCACCTAAGACCATTGGAAAACACAAATATTTACATTACAATTCATAACAGCAGCAAAATTAAAGTTATGAAGTAGCAACAAAAATAATTTTATGGTTGGGGGTCACCACCACACGAGGAACTGTATTAAAGGGTCATGGCATTAGGAAGGTTGAGAACCACTAATTTAGAACAAAGTAGGGTACTACATTTTCAAGATGTGTTACCCATTACTGTGCTGACAGATCATCAGTTGCTTTCTTAGATACAAAGTGACTGTACATTTCCCTTTACGCACATACCTGTATTGTAAAACCCAGGGCTGTGTATTTGTCATGATTCCTGTTCCAGGAGCCAAGCAGGTGTGTGTGAATGTGCAATAAGAGAATTAAAAAGATTTGATAATAGATTTTGGTTTTCTATTTCAAAAGCATTCATATAGGTGCCATTATTTAAAGGAGGAAGATATTTATATCTTTTTGGAATACTATTTGACCCTATGTCTCTGTGCCAGAAGATAAACAAGCCAAATATGATATTGGGGTGAAAATTTCTTGGGGATCATCCTGAGTAGCCAACCATTTGATGGCGGTCTAGTGACCTGTGTACTCTCCCTGTTCAAGATAACTAGAATGAGGCACTTTTGGAAGGGTCCTTTACCATGCCTCCAAACAGTGTGTGTGCTTTGGGCAAGGACACTCCTCCCAGGCAGACTGATCACTTCTGTCTCATGGAAGGCCAACCTCAGACTCAGGAAGATCTTTGTTGTGTCAATAATGGGTTGGTTTGCTGTTAGAATTTCGGTTTCCCTGAACTAGCCATGAACTGTTTTAATGCCGTAATTTTCTTACCAGTTCATTTTTTGCCAAAATCATAGTTGAGAAGCATAGTTTGCTACCTCGTCAGCATGCCTCCCTGTGAGAAAACGGGATCGTGGGGGTGGGGAGGAGGTAATTATCCCAAAGTTCTTTCTGCAAAATTATTATACTAACTTTTCAGAAAATGTTAATGGCTCCCTCTGGGCTTTTTCCCCTAGGACCTCTCAAGGCCACTGAAGTTATGGCCATGGTTGATTAATGAAGAGCAAAAGCTTTTGGGGAATATGGATATTTTCATACACTCTAAAGAAAATCAAGAGAAAACAACAAGTTCTTACTCGTGTAGCTTCTTTCCAAGGGTGGGGGTGGAGGACGTGGAACAAGCGTGTATGACTGCAGAGTCTCTTGTTTACTGTAACATGCCTGTGGCTTTCAGTGTGAGCGTGGCTTTCTATGCGATATAAAAAGACATGGAGTTCAGACTGATTCAAGGAATGTGTGAGGAACAAGGCAGCGCCATTCTTGGAAACTTTTTTTTTTAAATCCCTCTTTGTGCATAAAAATAAAATCCTGGGAAGCACACTGAACGTGAGCAAGGAAAGTTGTGGATAGGAGTTCCAAACTAAGAGAAAATTCTTCCCTAAACTCTTCCAAGGGCTTATTTTGTTATCGTTTTTAGTATCGGTATTAACCTGGTGTAAGGAGAGCCAGCATCCTGCAAGAGGCACAAGTGCTGAGATTTAGAGCGAGGAGGAGACCCACCAGTGTCCCGCCGCCACTAGGGGTGCAGACCAGTGAGCAAGCAGGTGGTCTGTGGCTGGAATGTCTTGCAGCTGGGAGTTCACATGACACGCTCGAAACACACACTGCAGTGAGCTCATGAACTAGAGTGAAGCTGCCAGCCCAGGACTGGGTGGAGGATCCCGAGCACATCCTAGAACAGCTCTGGGAGTCGAGGCAGGTGTGATGCAGCCCCTCACAGCACCCACCGCCTCCTGCCTGGGGCTTCTCATTCTATCGTCTTGTTTGCTTACTAACTGCAGGTTCATTCCAGAAGCCTGGTCGGCCTGTACTGTCACCTGTGGTGTGGGGACCCAGATGCGAGTAGTAAGATGCCAGGTGCTCCTGTCTTTCTCTCAGTCTGTGGCTGACCTGCCTGTGGATGAATGTGAAGGACCCAAGCCCGCATCGCAGCGCGCCTGTTATGCAGGACCATGCAACGGGGAAATTCCGGAGTTTCACCCAGATAATGCAGACGGACTCTTGGGTGACCTGCAGGACCTGGACGAGCTGTATGACTGGGAATATGAGGGCTTCACCAAGTGCTCTGAGTCATGTGGAGGAGGTAAGGAGGGGAGCCCGTATCAGAGTCTACCATCTTCCCAACTTCTGTCCCTGCGAGCAACTGTATCAGATGCCTGTCCTATTCCAAGAACGATAAGTGAAGAAAGGAGAGGCAGCCATTCTAAATGTAAAACATCCTGAATGAAACCCTAATGGATTTCTTTTTGCCCCGAGCGGCTCTCACAGTCAGCTGCGAGCAGCCAGCACCACTGGTGCTTTGGCTTGCAGCTGCCATTCCAAGGTTTTGTTCTCAACAGTCAGTCTTACTTGACTGAGCCTTTCCTCGGTGCATTTGGGGTGAAAGGAAACCCCACTGCAGCACATTCTACTGTTCTCGGGAACACAATAGAGTCCCTGAAATTTATTCAGCCTGTTTTCCAAGTGAAGCAGGGTGTATAAAGACCATGAACACCATGCCTAACAGGAGCTGGAGTAACAAGAGAGCAAAGACCAAAGGCAGACCCTGCTCTGTTCTGTAGGAGGAAACCAGGATGCAGGAAAGCGGTGGGACTTGTTCCATCTCTCACAGCTAGTAATGATAGCACTGGGCCCAGGCCAAGGCTTCTGTTTTCTGTCCTCACTCAGTCTTTCCATCATACTATACCTTTTCTAGGCTCATGCCGAATCCCTGAAGCATTCTCACTGTGAATATTATTTAATGTCAAATGTTTACATATATTTTCACCTGGTTCTCTTGGGTATAGTCCATGTTGACCTAGAAATAACTTCAGTAATGTTTGCATTCATGTATTAATGATGACCAATAACTGCACATATTTATGGAGTAGTGCACGATTGGGTGTATATGTTGAAGGAAAATTAAAACCAAGCTAATTAATCCCTTCAGTGATTCTTGAGGGAGCCATGGAAGTGTATGTGGTTGCATTAATCTGTATGGGTATATATAGAGAAACCAGGATGTGATGTCAAGGGTCTTCCTGAATTACTTCTGCAGACAGTCTTTTTCAGAATGGGGAGCATGCTGTTTCTGCTACACTGGCTGGCAACAAATCCCTAGGACCCATTTGTGTCTGCACCCCCAGTGCTGGGATTACAGGTGCATGCTGCCATGCTCAGCATTGGAGTGAGTGCTAGTGATCTGAACTTGGATGCTCATGCTGACCCAGAAAGCTCTTTACACACTGATTCATCTGCCCTGCCCCTGTCTGTGAGTCTTTATTTAGAATGTTATGAAAAGGAATGTGCTAGGAAAATCAATTAACTCTTCACGATTATGACATGCCTTGCCACTATGGACAAGTACATTAGGTTGATATTGCCACTATTGTCCACATCAGTCCCAAGAGAGATTTTTGACAGGTGACAGGTTACAGACTGATTCCCCACCAAAGTCTTAAAGAGTGTGCTGAGGTTTCACATGCCCGGTGAAGATTTTACTTAACCAGTGAGGGAAAAAAAAGTAGTCAAATAGTTTCCCAAAACTGTTTTTTAAGCCATGACATTTGGAAACTCTTTTAAAAGCATCTTTTGTTCTGGTTGAGAATGTAAGAATAAATGTGCCCACATTGTCCATTCACACGGAGTTGAAAGGGAGTGAATACTACCAGAGAAGAATGTACTTTTCTCTAGCAGTTCTTTTTAAACATTTAATAGTTCTGACCTCAAGGTTCTTGTTTGTTTGCACATCTTCCCGTTTCAAGCCCTGGAATTGTTGGAGTGTTTTAATGGAGAGCCCTGGTATTTTAAAATCAAAGTTCTTCCAAATGGCTCCAGGAGACAGTTTCTTGGAACTCAGCTAATGCACTGTATTCACATGGTGTGGTTCTCTCACCCTGAGGACGTCCTTTCGATCATGCCTCATGAGAGAGATGTGTTAAATCAACTTTGCTGTTCTCTGAACCCCTATAGGACCCAAGAGGTCAGGGGAAAAGCTGGATGTAGCCGGTGGCTGCTGTTGCTTCTTTTGTTTTTTGTTTTGTTTTTGAGACAGGCTATCACTGTTTTACCCAGGCTGGCCTTGAACTTGTGGAATCCTCAACCTCAGCCTCCTGAGTGCTGGTATCGCAAGCATGCACTACCATACCCAGTTGCTCTTGTTAAATATAATGAATGACTCAGAATTCAAATGGTTGTGTTTTTATCCCAGATTTCCAAGATCACCTAAACTGAATGTTCATTATATGTACTCAAAAACAAATGTGCTTTGAAACATACCATGGCTTCTCCATTATGATTGTCAGTTACAAGTCAAGCTTGGAATTTTATGAGATGGTAGAAAAATAGATGCAGTAATGGGATATATAAATAATGTGATACCTTTAAGAATCTAACTCTTCTACTGACAGACTGGGAGTTTAAAATTGAATTTTGAGGGTATATATGCAATATATTAATTTTAAGAATTTTCAGCAGAAGCTGACTGAAAAATAAGATTTGGATGTTTGATATACAATTGATCTCTACCTATAGGAACTAAAATATTTTGTATGACATAAATTGTTCTTCATTTATATCCAAGAGAGGAGCAAGTTACTAAAATTTCTTAGGCCTTTAACTGTCAACAACTGAGCACAATGTGCCAAGGTAATATATTTGCACCTAAAATGTTAGAGTTGCAAATTCCGATGTGGTAAAAGTATGCTTGGGTTATGTGGTCCATATGATGCCCATATGAACTAACAAATCACATATGGGGCATGTATATTTTCAAGTCACTGTTTGGCAGTGACATTTTATTGTATTATCAGCTTTGATCTTTCACCAAAATAAAACTCACAAGATTATATATATTTTTAATCATTCTTGCTGAAACAAACCTAAAATTATGCAAGATTAATAAATAGATTTTAAATCAATTGGAGTTATAGAACCAGTCAGGCTAATTTTATTGTTTCTATAATCTCGAGATGAAATTGGTAGAACATAGGTAATCTTTCCTCTAGCAGAAGTAGTAACCAGAAGGAACTAGTTAGTACTTTCAATCTGTAGTTGGTGGCTGAGGTTAACCGAACTGTCACCAATATCACACAACAATCATACTATTCTGGGAAATACAAACACAGAAAAATCTCACTTTCTTGAAGGTGGAAGTCCGCAGACCTGGGAATGGTGTCCTGCCATCTCCCACTCATTATCATCCTGTGATTTCCTGTGTATGGATGGACAGATGTGGTCCAGGAGAGCAGTTCTGAACCTAAGCAGCATTGTGGTGTTGACTTCCTAGATGTCAAACCAACTTTAGAGTCCAGCTTAGGAAAAACATGACGTCAGCAGAATTTAGGGTGAAGTCTCGGACCTAAGGCTACCTTCGCTTCCCACTTTCCTCTTCTCCGTAGAACCCAGAGTCAGAATATACTGTGTGTACACACAGGTTCTCCGTTGCATTTATAATATTGGTTTCAGGGGACTAGACTCAGGGAGTTTGCATGGTGCTGGCTATGCACACATGAGGACCTGACTTCAGATCCCACTAGCACATAGGTAGCTGAGTGGGGCCAGGTAACTGCATGCCTATAATCTCAGAACTGTGGAGAGAAAAAGCAGGATTGCTGGGGCTCACTGATTGACAGCCTAGCTACAGGTTCTGTGAGAGACCCTGTCTCAGAGAAATGGGGCAAACAATGGTGCAGAATACCCACCTCATGTAGCCTCTGCATATGCACTAGCAAACACAAATGTGCATATCACACATGCACACATACACTATACTCCCACACATAACACAAACATACATAATATATATGGTTATGTATTTGGATTCAGGATTCTTTTATTTCTTCTCCAAAGAGCATGAACTTAGGAAGTTATAGTTCTACATTTTTGCCTTCCTCCTGATGCCAGAAATATAGGGAGCACAGAGTCCTTCCCATTCCTTCCACATTCCCCATTTCAGGGCAGCACCTCACTCCATGATCCTTTCTTCCAGGCATCCTGTCCCTCCCTTTTCAATCTCAGTTTCCCTCTATGTTGAGATTGCCCTGCCCATTAGTCATCGATGTATTCATCCTAGAAAAATGAACTATGTTGATCACAGGGTTGGCCCCATGTACTGTTGAAGTATGACTGAACTTCTGTCTTGGGTTCCTCCACCTAAGAATGTCCAGGCAACTGACCCCATAGCAAAAGAGACTTAATACACAGTATTCAGAGCCTAGCACATTGTTTTGTAATACCTTAGATTAAAACTTAGTAACTCTGGAGTGCTTCTTGATCTCAGTCTGTGGCTACCCATAGATGCTTTTGATCTGCTATGATTAATGCTCAGCAAAAGTATATATTTGGGATTTAGAAACCCAAGGGAGGAGATTACTGACGTCCTGCAGAAACCTTGCCTTTTCTACCCCACTCCTTGCCATCTTGGAATGGCTTAAGTTCCACAAACAAAGAGTTCTCTGAGTAGAAACAAGTTCCAGCCCTCATACACCTAAAGTGGGTACTTTCAAGTAAGGTAAATGACAAGCTCTCTGATCACTTATTGCCTCAGAGTTCCTGGAGAGCAACCCAGTTTCATAAGGCTTCCCACAGCCTGAATAAAGCCCAAATATGTTTTCTAGACTCTTTAAAATGCTATCAAGTAGACAAATTAGTAAAAAATGTCTTATTTATTATCAGGTTAGCATACAAAGTATTGGATTTCATCATGGCATCCTCATGCATGTCATTCCCCTCTGCTCTTAACTCTCCCTCCCCCTCTTCCTTTCCCCACCCCACCCCTTTCTTCCTTCAGCTAGTCCCCTTTTGTGCTTTGTTGTCACATGTAACCCATTACTCTAGTTCTCATCCCTCTTAAAAGTTATTCCTCCCCTTCCATACTCCTCTTCCTAGCTTGTAACCTATAAATACACATATGTAGATACACATGCATACACATGTGTGTGTGCAGACTCCACATACGTGAGAAAATCCATGAAATCTGTCTTTAAGAGACTAGCTTATTTCATTTAACATAATGATATCCAGTTGCATCCATTTTCCCACAAATGCAATGATTTCGTTTTTCTTTATGGCTGTCTAAATTTCCATTGTGTATATGAAACACAT